AGGGCCCCAAATTTCCTAAATCTGCCCCTGGGCAGCTGTTACGCGCCTTCAGCGAGCATTCCAGTTTTCTGCCTTTTGGTCATTGCGGAGATGCAGAGGAAACCTCATCTGATGGGGGAACGCGGCTCGATGTGACACCGCATCTTTCTGTGTTCAGACTTCTGACTGTTAACTGATCCATTATTGTTCCTTATAAGCTACCCAGGATTTTCCCACCCTAGTTTCCTTGGTAACGGTCTAACACACCTTATCGACATCAAAGACTTTCATCGATCAGTAAACCTGTCCTGTTATTTACTCATAATTTACCAGAGACCAGCACCAAAGTGTCGGTACTAACCTAAAAAGTTCCCTTCATCTGATTTTTCTCATTTTGATGTTTGTCCCAGTTTAACTGGCCCCAGTTATGTCAACTGGTTCCAATATGCTGGGAACCAGTAACTGGAGCAGGAGGGCATTTCCCTTACCAGTGTTTGATGTTTAATGTTTAAAGTCTAATAATATCTTTTCAGTTTACTTTCACATCATTAAGTTATAAAATCCTGGATTTTAATCATCATGTTCTCAGTAAACTCTACATTTAATCAGGCATAGTGGAACAGACTGATACTACACACTGAAGGAAATACAACAGCATGTATTAGGAATAATACAGATGCCAGTAACTTCACCTTCATTCAATTTAATTCAGTTTATTTCTGTAAATTACATCATCTCACCTCAATGCTCTGTACAGAGACAATTCAGTCAGCCTGGTTAGAAGTTTTCTATCTAAAAAACAGTGATGGACGAAGTACTCAACAGTAGTACTTGAGTAAAAGTACTGATACTTGTAGTCAAATCTTATTCAACTTACTCCCTCAAACATCTACTGAAGTTAAAGCATTGATGTGCTCATGTTTATTGTTCTTTTTTTGTATTATTTTTTTATTTTAAAAAAAATACTTACGTATTCAAAAGTAGATACATTTAAAAGTATTTCAGTATCCAAGAATACAAATTACATTTCCTAATATCAGAACATTTCTGTGTAATTTTCAGAGTAATTCTAAAGAAGCTGTAACTTTCAGAAACCACCTGATGTATTGATGCATAGAACCACATGCTATAGATTCTGCACCACCTGGAAAGAACTTCAGCATAAAGATTCTCCTCACATTTTCTCTATAGAATAGAGGTTAAAGGTTGAATCTATGACCACAAAGAAACTATAACTCTGATCTGAGACTCATCCTACTGAACAACTTGGACACATGGCAACATCTGATAAAATTAGAAACGTCTAGATTCAGTCCTAAGGGCTGCTATCTGCCATGATGGAAGGAAAAACAGCAACAGAGGATTAAAAAGCTACGCTGAACCAAAAGGAAGAATGAACTAACAGCTTCTTAGAAATGGAGCGTTGTGCCACGATCATGGTTTTTGGACATTGAGAACCAGTGTCCATGTTTCATGTTGACATGAAGAAAATACAATTTTGACTCATAAACAGCTGTAAGACCTCTGCAACCGCCTCAAATTACTCTTTCATTTATTCTTCTAACACACAGTTAGTAGGGCGTGTGTTCATAAACAATATATAACAGCTGAAATAATATCTGATTAAATAAGATATTTACCACAATAAACATCTTAAAGTATCAGAAATATAAACTCCCAGCTGGCTGGGAATTGAATATAACAGTTATTCACAACATTAATGTGGCATCCAACCTGGATGAGAGTTGAATATATTAAAATCACAACAGGAGTGAAAGTTAGAAGTACTCCCCAAAAAATGACTCAAGTAAAGATACTGAAAAAAGTACTTAAGTACAATGTACTTTGTTTCTTTCACCACTAAGAAAAACCAGGTGACTGCATCCAGTCATTGACTTGGAAGACATGCTCCTCCTAAATAACCTTTGCTTGCATTTTGTCATCGACTTTACAGCAATCCCTCACACCAAGTATGCTTGTAGCGACAGTGGAGAGAAAAAACTCCCCTTTGAACAGGAAGAAACCTGCAGCAGAACTCATACAGATGTCAATACCAAAATAAACACTTTTACAGTGGAGGGTCAACAGATTTATAAACTCTTAGTAAAATAAAATGTGATGTGAAAATGGCTGCATTTTTTGGGATTTTAAGTAAATTTCCTACATGTTGTTTGCTGCATTCTAATATAATGTTTGCAACCAAAAACATCCTTAAATGGCCTGACTGGGAAGCTTTCCTCATCTGACTCGGGAGTTTTCCTTAAAACTACTGAGTTTTTTTTCCCAGAAGGCTGAGTGGCGTGTTCTGTTGCTCTGAGGTAGGAGCAAATCTAAGGGAAATCAAAGTTTAACAAGCACTTAGTTCATGTAAAAAAGCGAGGGAAGGTTATATTGACAGCTGAGAACACAGTCGACAACAAGAGGCTGAAACTGGGAACGCATGAAAACTGGTTAAAGTTTGTCAACAGGTCAAATACAATCAGGGACTGAAAGAAAGAAACCTTCAAAGTCGCTCCAAGTGACTGACGCCGAAGGTGTGTGCAGCAGGCAGAGAGGGGACGAGCACTTTCTCCCAGGAGACACCAATCCTCCATTAGAGCCGCTTCATCAATAAGTGATGGGGAGGCATCAGGAGCAGACAATGGGGCAGCACATGGATCCTATGCACAATGCACTCTCTAATTTTAGTTCACCTCCATGGGGGAGGTCAGCGACTGAATAGTCAGGGTAAAGGACACAAACGACACAAAACCAAACAGGGAAGCAGGTTTCAGATCTGTGAATTGTTGTGGTTGCTCCTCTCTGTGGGGTGGGGGGTGGTGGTGGGAGGATGCAGATAAAGAAAAACCATGAAGGTAGACTAAGAAGAAACTGCCGTTTCCTCCCATGAACCACACCCTTATGA